TTTTACACTTTCCAAGAAAATGTAGTTGAAGTGTTGAAAGCTTATTCATCGATTTATTGTTTAACAGAAGAAAATTATACTACCTACGCAGCTACGGTTTAAGAAATTGAATTAGCCTTCTTCATACCAAAATTAGCCACATAACAAAGTTACAAATTGTTTTAGGGTTTATAAGTGCAAATAAAACTGGAATTTAGTAATAAATGTTTATAATGTCATATAATAACGCTAATTGAAAATGAGAGTAATTACAACATTTACAAATAAGTACTCAGTTTCATAATACTTCATAACAAGAGTTGACATAACATTAATTTGTATGGCACAATTACTATAAGTACCTAATTAATAATAAATTGAGGATTCATTTTCCAGACATTAAAATAAGTTTTTTTTATCATTTACAATGTAAATAACACAAAAAAAAACTTTTAAAGTCAAACAATCCTTAGTAAACCAATTTATAAGTAAATGATCTTAATAATTTATAAGGAATGTTAAATTACTACATCTATTATGATAACTATCTATTTGACTTTTTGAATACGTAGATAATAACTACTTATGAATAATTTGTGAAAAATTATGATGGACACTATCCTACTATTAATGTTGACAAATAAATTCCATGATAAGTAGGTACTTACTAATATAATATGGTCCAGTTATATTTAATTTGCTTATACTATTGGTCGGACTTTTAAATGATTTTGTGCATAATTATTAAGTACATACCCACATAATAGTAATCCATTAAATCTACCATAAACTAGAAACCTTTGGAAAGATAAATAATATAACCACGTGGTAATAACAGCAAAATAATAAAAAGACGTCTGTTTGAAGATAAATCGGATAAAAAGTGCCCCTTATCCATCTTCAAGTACTACAGTTTACACTTGAAAAGTTTATACAAAAACGAATGCAGTTACTGTAGATCTTTTAAATGTCTGTCGCTCAACAGAGACAAAAAAACACAGCCATATGCCACTTCAATAGCCTGCAGTGCTCTTTTTAATTTGGTTGAAAACAGAACTCATTTTTTGAAGATTTGTAATGATTATTGTCATTTTGAAAGACGTCAGAACCAGAAATTAGCATTTTCAAATTGTGCCATTTTGACGCCAAAAAGACTAGCCTCAGATTATCCCACGTGGTGTGAACACCTCTACAGCGGAATCTTGTCAGTTTTCAAAGGCATCAGCTCCACTGGCATGAGTTGCGGTGCCAAATGCTGGGGCAGTAGGGTAGGTGACTCCTTGCGACGGCTCCCGATGCGCAGGAGTCCTTTTTTGGCTGCAAACATCAGCAGCAGCGCCGCTGACACGAAGAATGACACCATCTGGAAATAAAAAGATTTGAAATAAATTGTTGTGTTAAAAAGGTTCATAAAAATGTGAGCTTGATGATGGATATGGATGGCAAAAAAATTGTGATCAGCCAGTGTTACGAGGGATGACTCTTTGATAGACTTTAGTCGCTAACTAACTAGGAGTAGGATGGAGGAGATTCTTAAAAATAAAAAAAACAACGGTTAAATGATGATTCAGATTCTGACTCTAAAAAAACTGTATCAGCTGTGTAAGTCAGTCGACTAAAAATAATTATAAAATGTTACTTTGGTCATCTGAGATCATTATGTTTAGATATACATGCGCTTCGTTCACGCTTGTTAATTTTGTTATTAACAAAAACTATATTTCCAGACAGTTACAGGAAAGATAATGAGCTATACTGCTTCGATACAATAAGTTACAATTTTAATTGGTTATGGCAACTTAAGCGGAACATTCAAATACCTATCTAAAACAGTTTTAATAAAATACTCTAATAATTTTTCATAACTAAATATATATATAAAAAAAGTTTTTTTTCGTTTGTTTATTTGTTCTGTGTATTTAGTTCTGTAAAACTATACGATGGATTTGATTTTAACCATTTTAAAGTCGTTGTAGCTTTTGGTTTTAAAGTCGGACTGAGTCGTTTCAATATTAAAATCAAGGTATAATTTAAATGATAATTTTGAGATTAATTTTCTGTAAGATAAGTAACCTATAAATATTTTTTTTGTATTGCACTGTATGATTTGATATTGAAATTTTGCGAGTTGTGACATTATTGTTCAATGTATCCGAATTTCTCTGCTTAGTTACTTGTATTATTAATATTAATTTAGATTATAAATTGGCATTTGATATCGCACAGGCACAAGGCATACTATTGTCGGTTTATCACTGTTGTTTCACCCGTGTTCAGGATCGAATAACAATTTGATTAAGGAAATAATATAATGTTTAGGCAAACGTATTGATAATGGAAAATAGTCAATCGTAAACTTATAATTGGTAACACCATGTTTTCAAAGTAAGGCTGCAGCTGCGTGGACAACGTTATGTAACGTGAATGTGCCTCAGATGATTAAAGAATATTCTAGATTTATTTCATTTAAATACGAGTGGATACTTACATAAGTATCATACATAACATAAACAGTCAACATAATTCGTACATAGTAAACATTCATAGGATGTACTCGTAGATGTTATACAAAAAAGTATAAAAAAAAAATAGTTCTTGAATAAGTAGACCCCTGTGAACTGTGGTTACGGGTTCGAATTTTGTTAGAGGCAAACTTTGATGGCAGGGACACGTCCTTTTTCATACCCAGTCATATCATGCATGTATGCATGTACATAGGTACCTATTTATTTTAAATAAGTTAACACATAAATATTCATTAATGTCTGTTAACCCACTGAAGTAGAAACTAGTACTTTGTTAAACCGTTTTGTAGTTGTCATAGTATGCATACAATAGTCACTCAGCTTATTTGGGGTTTGGGGTCACGTCCTAACTCGTAACTGAATAATGTTAGTAAAAAAGGTGATGAACAATTTCAAAATGTTTCGCGTCATAAAAATACCTACTACCGATTGTACTTTACTTAGAGAGGTCGCAAACAATTTTAAAATTAGATTTTTTTATGTGACAGGAGGCAAACGAGTAGACGGATCACCTGATGGTAATTTCCGACCCGTTTGAGTTTTTTTCTAACGTCTCTCTCTACTTTTCTATGCTACCTTAACGTGACCGCCTCTACACCTATAGTTTATTGTTATTTCGGGAATATTCGAAAAATGCGCGTCTTTGTGTACCCGACATCCCGGCGAGCGCAGTCGCAGGCGATGCTTACACAATCACGTATGAATGGAAGTAACTTTGTTTTGTTAACGGTGACAAAGATAATGTTTATCATTGCCATGAGTAGGTATAGAAATGAGTGTTTTAAAAGCCATTAGTGTTTGTTTTCCTTTCACTTCCTTGATCACTCTCAGGCTCAATCACGTATATTACTGTGACACTTTGAATAGTGTCACAAGTGAAATATTTGACTTTCTAAATTATGAAACAAAGTCAATTAGAGTAACATTTCCCAGTAATTACAATTTCCAACACCGTTTGTTTATTGTCGAGGAAAACCCTAAGGTTATCATAAATTAACTACATTAATTAAACAAGATTTATCTCGAGAACGATGCCAGAGAAGGATGGCTTGAGGCGGCCTCGCACAATAGGATAAACAGAGACAGGAAATTAAAACAATGGAGCGATAACTGAAATATCTACTATGCGAAATTTGATTCGCAATAAAATATGTTTTGACTTACCGCCGAGATGCCGAATACACTGACAACTTCATAGGATAAAAACATGGTCAATTACAACACTCAGAAGCACCGTAAAAAATGTAAACACGATTGTGCGCACGCGTCGATGCCACGGCCTACAGTCAGTAACTGCGCGCGCAAGAGAGCGAGCTATAGAACCTTAGTATGACTGGTATGACACACCGCGTGAGGCAACGGTTGTCTCGTTTTACCTTTATCATAATAGGGCTATACAGAGAAACCCCATTTCTACCTTTGGAGTGCTTTGGATTTATAAAATACCACGTCTTATGAGTTGTGATACCACCTTTCACTTGCTGTCTATTCATTCACACCACTCATGGTGTAAGAATATAAATTACTGAAATTTTGTTTTATGTGAGTTGTGTCACTGTTGAATATCGATGGCAAATTTTTAAAATAATCACCATTATGTAAAAGCTTATAGAATTAATGTTATTTTCGGTATTGTTTAAACAGTCATGATTACAATTTCTTTCTAAAGTAATGACACAATCATCACCCTGCCTTTTAAGCAGTATTATTCCTTTTAAAGGGACTGGACCTACTGTATGAATCTATAGTCTTCATTGTGATAACAGGTAGGTGGGCTATGTGTGTGTGTACCCAGCATTTGACAGCTGGAAAACGGTTACATTTGTGCTCGGAGCGGCAACGTCGCCATCTAGTGTCATTTTCGGGCAGGTTTCGCAACTCACGCGCACACCTGTCGGTTTATAACTAATTGATAGTACCTACTTATTGATCGAAATTAAATAATAGGAAATGATTTTAATTACTGTTTCGAGTGTAAGTTGTCGTTGTAAAAAAAATATTGCCACGGGCGGAAATGTGAATAGCTTAAGTAATTATAAAATTGATTTCCATAACCAAAATATTTGATACCAAATTAACTGAAATTAAAAAAAATCAAGAGTAAATGACGTTTTTTTTTAAATTAAGTAGGTACATTTTCTGAAACAAGGATTGATTACCCGCATACTACCTACAATTTTAATTGCACTTAGCGTCTAGTAGAGACTAATTCCTACCTCCTCATTAATTTATTTTCGAAGTTTTGTTTAACTACCTAGCTCGCATCAATACTTATGACTATAATATTTTGTATATTTTAAAGACTGTAAACCCTTGAAAAGGAGGCTGACAATAGTGACCGAGTTTCTTGCGCTGCTTCTGCTCAGCACTGGCCCATTTATTGTCCCGAAGCAGTGGTAGGGTTAATATTGGGACGTGTAAAAGTGCTTAAGCCTATTTGCAAAAATAAATGAATTTTATTTTATGAAGGTCACTTCAAAAACAAAACAAAACAACAACAATTCTTAAATACTTTTTATTACACTCTATTGGCGAGCTCTATAGAAGGATCTGGCCAGCCGCGCGGAGACCGCGATGCCTTCCCAGGTCTCGAAATTGATGTGCTCGATGTACTGCGGCGGCACCAGGAATCCATTACCGTACCCTGGCAGCTCCAGGGTCAAGGAGAAGGGGACGCCCACGTACTAAAAGCAAATAACAACACGTTACCACAGGAAATTAATAACTTATCATTTTCTTGCATTTTCTTCTTTTCCATCATACATGTCTACTTGTCCAATGTCCTTACACTACATGGATTCCTCCTGAATCACTGTTGATATTCGGTCTCTCTCTCTACCTTTCATCTGTTATTACCTGAATTCGCTCACTTTCGGTGAGAGTGAGAAGGGAAAATTATGACTGCACATTTCACTATATTACGATACTAGCGGCCGCCCGCGACTTCGTACGCGTGGATCCCGTTTTACCCTCTTAGGCTGGTTTTAGAGTCACGCTGACGCTCGCTGACCGTCAGCGCTGACAGCCGAAATGTATGAAGCGTCGGAGCCGAGCAATCAGCGTCACTCAGGAACGTTCCCTTATTGAAGACGATCAGCGAGCGGTCAGCGCGATTCTAAAACCCGCCTTAGGGGTGGAGTTTCGTAAAATTCGATCTAGTGAGCACCTACGTTCTAAAATTTGAGACTCCTAGCACTTGTAGTTTTTCGTGATGAGTGAGTGAAACACATGGTTTGTGCTAATCAGGACACCTATCGTCAAATAGCTTTGATTCATTATAGAGCAACTTGAATCTTACTTGTCCATAATCGGCTGCGCTGCCAGAGTCTGTGTACAAAATCATTGCGCTGTTCCCAATTTTGTACCACTCCGCTGCTGGCAGCTTCAAGGCGTCCATGGCTGCTCCCATGGCAGCGCTAAGCACATGGAGATGGATGACGTTGTCCGGGAGCGTGTAGTCTCCGAACCCATACAACACCCAGTTGCCATGGCTGTGGATGTTCATGAATATTTCCATCCGGTCCAGGTTCTCGGCGATGATGTCCCGAACGATCCTCGTCTCGGACTCGGAGAAGGGCGCAGTGCCTGATATAAAAAATTAAACATAACAAACATAAGACTTATCACCACCAATATTAACTTTGCTTCACGACTGTAATAATATTAANATTACTTAAGCTTTATGTTATTTTGCTATCGCTAATCAGAACTCCTAGCGTACTAGCAATTTTGGGACCTATGGTGGTCAGGTAACTTTGATTCATAATAGAGCAACTTGAATCTTACTTGTCCATAATCGGCCGCGCTGCCAGAGTCTGTGTACAAAATCATTGCGCTGTTCCCAATTTTGTACCACTCCGCTGCTGGCAGCTTCAAGGCGTCCATGGCTGCTCCCATGGCAGCGCTAAGCACATGGAGCTGGATGACGTTGTCCGGGAGCGTGTAGTCTCCGAACCCATACAACACCCAGTTGCCATGGCTGTGGATGTTCATGAATATTTCCATCCGGTTCAGGTTCTCGGCGATGATGTCCCGAACGATCCTCGTCTCGGATTCGGAGAAGGGCGCAGTACCTGATATAAAAAATAAAACATAACAAACCATTTGTCATGACTCATCACCACCAATATTAACTTTGCTTCACTGCTATAAAGACTATGGGTGCCTAAGAGCACCTTCTCTAGTTTTATTAATTTAGATAGTAAGTAGTTTAGATCATCCTATTATAAATGCGAAAGTTTGGATGTCATGATGTCTGGATGTTTGGATGTCTGGATGTCTGGATGTTTGTTACTCTTTTACGCAAAAACTACTGAACGGGTATTGTTGAAACTTTACAGTATTACTGTTTATAACTCAGATTAACATATAGGCTATAATTTATGATAATCTGTGACAAACTAAATTTCACGCGGGTGAAACCGCGGTCAAAAGCTAGTACACAATAAACAAATCATTGCCATCTTTTTGAGAATGCCATTTTGTAATTACCTAAAAAAACTTGGCTAATTTTAAAACTGGACAAGCTAAGGGGATTGCAACTAAAGCTAAAACTCTCAGAAACAAACCTGGATAGACATCAGAGCAGGGGTTTTGGGACACCCCAGTCGTATTCCAATTGACGTCGAAGTTGCGGTTCGCATCGACGCCCACGCATTCCGTGCTCACCTCCAAGTTGATAGAGCGCGTGCGACGCCACAGTCTCACCTAGAAGAAAAACTGCAGGTTAAGATAATGTTAGGGTCCTAACGAATATTAGTGTAAATGAAATAGCGGACTGAGTCGCTATCGTATTCATTTAGATATGTTTTTTACCTAACGATTTGAGATGAACTCATGGTAGTGTTCACCCTGGGCAACGTCCGCGTGGTCTGTTCACGCGGGCGGCTAACTTCTCGCCTGCGCGGCAGGCAAATCGGCGGGCCTGTCAGGCAACCCGTAACCCACAATTGAGTGGGCCGGGGGCCGTCGAGGCATTTGCCCGGGCCACGATACAGGGGACATCTTTAAAAACCCCCACAGGGGCTGGCGGGGCGTTTGCCCGGGCCCATTCTTTGGAGGGCCGCTCTCGGTACTTCTCTGATCAGCAGAGCTGACCGAGCAGCGGCATAGAGCAGACCGTAACCCGCTACGGCGGGCCGGGGGTCCTGTTTTACCAGGGCCGCGAGGAGAAAACCTCTATAAAAAACAACTGGAGGAGGGGATTGGGGGTTCCCCCGAAGCCAGAGAGGCTTGCTCGTGAGCGAGCCTCTAGCCTGAGGCGGAGCTGCGGACGAATGTTCAACCAGGACAATAACTCGCGGCTCCGTTTCTTTGGGCTCTGGTGGAAACCGTCGGGTTTTAGTGGGTAGGCGGGGAGAGTCCCACATAACCCACTGGCCGTCCCCATAGACCAGTGGGTATGCGCAAAGCATTTCCCGACGAAAAAAAAAAGAGGCACTGTATTCAAATAGGTGCTGTAATTCTCGCCAGCCTAATTACAAGAAATTATAAGAGTACGCGGTATTCGTGCGACGACGGTGGTGTCCCAAGGCGAGTGTGTGAACCGAGCGCCGCCGATGATGACGCTGTCGGCGAGGTGACGTTAGTCATCGTATGCCGCACCCGCACGTTTCCTCCCGCGCGTTGTTGGCTTCCCAACAGATAATAAGCAAGAAGTAAAAAACATGATCCCTAAATCTTGGGTAGAGCTAAAATTTGGAAGACATATTCCCATTTAGCTTACGTCTGTGTGCGAGTACTCATATCCATCGGGATTGGTCATGGGCAAGATGATCCAGTCGATGTCCTCCAGCAAGTCTCTGTCCAGATCTCTCAGGTCCTCCACCAGGCGGTGGATGGAGAAGAGAGTGACCGGGGTGGTCACCCATTCACGAGCGTGCATCATGGCATCCATAAAGTACACGGGTTTGGAGGTGTCAGTGAAGTTTGTAGTTGAGATCTAGAAGGAATAATGAAGGTTAATTATTGGAATTGGAGTAAACATGCCACCATCAATGTGGGAATTGCAACGTGTAGAACATGTGAAAAATAATTATTTGAGGGTTTGATCATACCTTTAAATACTTGATGTCCCGCCCTTCGAAGCTTTGTCCAGCATTTACAAGAGTGACCAGCTCTGGGTATTGAGCAGCTATTTGTTCCAAGTAAGCATCAACCTAAAATTAAAAGGATAGGAATAATAAGGATAGTAGGTACATAATTTTAGTATCTCAGTTTCTACTGTGTTTTTAGGCCAAACTTGTAGGGTTTGCCAGTTTCAATGTCTTTCAGTTGGAATTATGAATAATCGATTTATTGATGGTTACGTTACTCTCTTTACTCTGATTAAACTACCTACCTAATTGATGATCAGCTTACCTCTTCATAGCGAGGGTAGTCGTTGAAGGGCATAAGCCTTCCACTCCTGCTCTGCTTCCATTGGTTGACTTCTTTTTCGTGAGCCTCCAGAACCCTGAAATAGTAATTTTTATCGTCATTAACATTTTTATTTTGTCCACTATGTTCTGCACACTTTGACATAGCAGGCAGGTGTGTCTTGATTGAACTTAAGTAACCATTAAAAAGGTGGGTACATTTATCCACTTGTCTTTTTATTACTCATACTACTTGCATCTCTCTCTCTCTTACTCCAATGAAGAACAATCACACATCGACTTACTTAGCAACATCAGCCACATGCAGATAATGTTCAAGGCCGTGCTTGTCTAGGTCGTCCAGTACAGCAACTCGGTCTTCTGGCGACAGCATGAGCTGAGCATCACGGGATTCAGGGTTTCCAACTTGCCATACGTCCAAATCCAGGCTTTGCGTGAGCTCCTCGATGAAGGCCTTGTCGGATTGTGTTCGCAGCTTGATGCCGTGGACTGAATAGCTAAAGAAAAAGGAAACAAAATCCATAGGGTTAGCATCTGTTCAGTGTTCAGTATTGAAGAGGATATCACAATCACAGATGTTTTTCTAACTGTTGGATAACGGGCGAAAAGTAATGATTTGAAATACTGAATACTTGGATTGATAGAGTTGTGAGAGTAAAAATGTTTAAGGATTGCAAGCATAATAGATTGAATATAGGTAGGTACGCTATGAAATTTTGCTATCATGTCTGAGTCGGACGCATAAATGGGTGCTTAGATTTTATACTGAGCAAGTTTGTTTTATAAGCAACATTAAGGAACACTTACCCTGAATACTGATCATGTTTCCCGGCACTGACCGTGGCCAACAAAAGAAAAACTAGGCTAATAGCCAACATTGTGCTAATATTCCATCCAACAATGAAATGTTCCCCCAATCTTCCTCGATCGTTCACTTACCGATAAAGTGTGATAATATTCGACCTATTATACAAATTTGATAAAGTATTTATCGCGTTATATTACTGATACGTAAACCAAATAAAACAAGTTGGATTTAATGGCTTGCTAAATTGCTTTTTAGGGTACTCCCACACTGAAGCATTTGCCTGTAATGTAACGTTACAGAGAGGTGAGGGAAGAAAACCAAGCATTACATTGCGCAACTTGATAGTACAATGTGTAGTATAATTTGATACAACTTGTAACAATCTTATTTGAAATGGTAACTTTACAGGCCCTTGTAACTTCTTCATATCGATGAATTGATCAAATTTCTAAGGCCTTATCTTTAAATGTGGGTGATTTCATGAAAGACTATAAAGATAAAATGCTTTGTTAGTAAAAAATGCCGTATTTATTTATTAGGTTTCCATCAAACATTTCGCTGTTATGAAATGAGATATAAATAGTTTTTTTTATGCAGAGCAAGGCAGGTAGACCGCAATCGTACCTGATGTCGCGTCAATCAAATCAATCAAATAATGTGTAGCAAAGAAGTAATGTGTAGGCGGCTTAGCGAGCTAAATATCCACATTTTACGCATTCTAGAACCTCATAGTTTTCCCGCACTTTGGTGGAAAAATAGCCTAAGACTGAAGACTTATGACTACGGTCGTTTTATTCCTCTACTGGCGAGCTCTGAAGGTGGTCCTGGCCAGCCGCGCGGTGACCGCGATGCCTTCCCACGTCTCGCGGTTTATGTGCTCGATGTACTCTGGGGGCACGCGGAAGTCGAACCCGTAGCTCGGCAGCTCGAGGGTGTATGAGAGAGGGACGCCCACCAGCTGAAACATGTCATATTGTGTTGTTAGACCTAGAATTATTAGGTACCAAACTGTGGTGTTTACTATCAGGTTCTTTCTGGATATTTTCTCCAAAGAGTCTTGTCATTCACCAAATCCTTTATTTGCTTCTGGTAAATTAGTGAGGGTCATGCTCCTGCAATGGAGATAATGATCGGGTGATGATGATGATGATTAGCACTACACCACGATGAACCACATGATGTCGTGCCCTGAGTGCCCGAGCAACTGCACGCTGGAGGAAAAACGAATGCTGCTGATAACGCCACTCTTGTGGCGGAGTTTTGGGAACTGTGTAGGTTTGTTATCGACACTGCTGTGCAGGTGGATGGCGTTAGGAGGGAGCGTCTCGTTGCCGAACAAATAGTTTTCGTGGGTTCTCTTTTAACTGCCTCTACATATTATTATACCCCTATCAGGATTCCAACACGCTGCTACCTAGCTTGCTTTATATGTTACTAGCGGCTGCCCGCGACTTCGTACGCGTGGATCCCGTTTTACCCCCTTCATCTATCTTACGCGGTTTAGATTTTTTCATACAAATGTTTTCTCCCGCTAACTCCCGTTCCCGTGGGAATTTTGCAATATCCTGTTGTAACTAAGCTTTAAGTTTACTAAGGTACCTGCATGCCAAATTTCAAGCGTCTAACTTAAGCGGTTTAGATTTTTCATACAAAAGGATTTTCCTGCTAATTCCCGTTCCCGTGGGAATTTCGGGAATTCCTTTCTTAGTGCACCTCTACGGTACCTAAGCTACGTCCCTTCCAAATTTCAAGTGCCTACGTTAAGCCGTTTAGGCTGTGCGTTGATATGTCACTAAGTCAGTCAGTTTCTCCTTTTATATATTTAGATAAGTAGAATAATACCTGTCCATAATCCTGCGCACTCCCAGACGTCCCATACAAAATCATGGCACTGTTCCCGACTTTGTACCAGTCTGCTTCTGGCAGCTTCATGGCATCCATGGCGGCTCCCATCGCTGCGCCCACCAGGTGCAGGTGGATGGCGTTAGGAGGCAGCGTCTCGTTGCCAAAGCCGTACAGCACCCAGTTGCCATGGCTGTGGATGTTCATGAAGATCTCCATGCGGTCGATGTACTCGTCGAAGATGTCTCGGAGGATCCTCGTCTCGGGCTCGGAGAAGGCCGAGGTGCCTGTGGTGGAAAATGTATTTTGTGTATATTCACATTACTCAATTAGGTAATTAATTGTCTATGCCCCTGATTATATTATTATCCACTTATTTATTTATATTCTATTGAAAATACGTGACTTCGTTGTTCATATTTTCAAAGGGATATGCCTGTTTTCATATATTCAATAAGAGAAATGATTAATTCCTCTTTTGTTTATTGTTGCGTTCGTTCGTTCGTTTCAGCCAAATGACGTCCACTGCTGGACAACGGCCTCCCCCAATGTTTTCCACAATGAACGGTTTTGAAGTGAGCTATAGAAAATATCGAATGCATGCATGTATGTATAGTTAGGTAAGCCAAACCTGGGTACGTTTGAGAACAGGGGTCTTGGCTGACCCCAGTCGTATTCCAATTGACGTCGAAGTTGCGGTTCCCGTCCACGCCAAAGCAAGTGTCGCTAACTTCCAAATTGATGGAGCGTGTGCGCCGCCAAAGTCTAGTCTAGAAGGAAGCAATCATTCAAAATAATTATTTATTTTTAGATTTTGCTCCAATTTATTATTTAGTCCACTTCAGTTTGAAATAATAATTTCATGTTACCGAAAGATACGTGACTTAGGCCCGATTCGACCAAACTTTTACCGAGAATTCTGAGATTAACATTTACTCTTGTTTGGTCGAATCCACCCTTAGGAGGAAGGAGTACTACCTATTCGTAGATCAGCAGATTGATAGGTCCCATTATGTAACTAACTAGGTATATTTTTAGTATTTTGGTTTAACTGATTTAAGTTTTTGTTCACATATATACAACGTGTCCCAAAATTCAAAGATAAGCCGGCGCCGCAGGGTAGACATAGTCATGACTACTTTAGGAAAAATAAGAAAAAAAATATATCTCAATTATTTTTTAAGTTACACAATAAATAATGAAATTCGTCGAAAATTGACACCCCTTATGACATTTTACATTACCACGGCCACAATTTTTCAAATACTTCTGTTTTTTTGTTTGTATCGGCAACTTAAGTAGTGCTGCTGTCCATTCCAATTCTTAAAATCCCCAGAATCCTTGCAGTTTTTACACAAAAGTTAATCAAAATATGAAATTTCCTTAAAATTTTGAACGATTTTTACATTCACTCCACTTTGACTCGTCGTTTTGTAAAAAAAAAGTATGAACACTACTGCGGCAAGTTTTTTATAAAGTTGACGCAACTATCCAAGATTCCAAAATGGTATAATACTCTAAGAAAACTAGTCGCAAAAAAGATATGCGTACCATTTTTACAAGCATTCCGCTTGTTAGTTAGTATGAGATAAATCTTACAACTGAATTTAAAACCAGTTATCCTCAACCAATTGAGCTGAAATTTGATATGCTTGTGTAAGTACAATGACATTGCAATATTATGGTATCATTGAGCTGGATGGAGTCTGGAGGTGGCCATAGGAACTTCTAAACGAAATGGCGGAATTGCATCTAGTTTAGGTTCGATGGATTTGTCTTTTCGAGCAATTTAGTGCTAGATGATGTCCAGGGTCCTGATGATGAAGTCAAGAGGTGGCCAGGAGCTGGCCTAGGAACTCCTAAACGAAACAGCGAAAGCTTATCGAGTTTGGGTTCGTTGGATTTGTCTTCCCGGGCACGTGGGCGGGCACGTTGAGAAACAACTAAAAAGTTTAAAATAAAGTTATAATCGCGCATGGAATTTATTCCTCTTTTTTTCTGTTTGCGCTACAAGCTTTCGAAATTATTTGAACCTTGCATACAATTATTTTTATCGTTAAATTCTTTCGTAAAATTTCGCATTAATGCTTGTTTTTCAAAAAGTATTTTTTTATTATAACTTTATTTTACACTTTTTAGTAGGTTCTCAATCTCATGGTCCAAGTGCTCGGGAAATCAAATCAAACGAACCCAAACTCGATAAGCTTCCGCCATTTCGTTCAGGAGTTCCTTTGGCCAGCTCCTGGTCACCTCTTGACTTCATCATCAGGACCCTGGACATCATCTAGCACTAAAGTGATCGAAAAGAAAAATCCAACGAACCCAAACTAGATGCGATTCCGCCGTTTCGTTTAGAAGTTCTTATGGTCACCTCCAGACTCCATCCAGCTCAATGGTACCATAATAATGCATTGTCATCGTACTTACATAATGTAACCAAATTTCAGCTCAATCGGTTGAGGAGAAATGGTCTTAAATTCAGTTGCAAGATTTGTCCCAGACTAACTAATAAGCGAAGTGCTTGTAAAAATGATACGCATATCTTTTTGGCGACTAGTTTTCTTAGAGTATTATACCATTTTGGAATCTTGGATAGTTGCGTCAACTTTATAAAAAACTTGCCGCAGTAGTGTTCATACTTTTTTTTTACAAAACGACGAGTCAAAGTAGAGTGAAAGTAAAAATCATTCAAAATTTTAAGGAAATATCATATTTTGATTAACTTTTGTGTAAAAACTGCAAGGATTCTGGGGGTTTTAAGAATTGGTGTGGACAGCAGCACTACTTAAGTTGCCGATACAAACAAAAAAACAGAAGTATTTAAAAAATTGTGGCCGTGGTAATGTAAATTGTCATAAGGGGTGTCAATTTTCGACGAATTTCATTATTTATTGTGTAACTTAAAAAATAATTGAGATAGATTTTTTGTCTTATTTTTCCTAAAGTAGTCATGACTATGTCCATCCTGCGGCGCCGGCTTATCCTTGAATTTTGGGACACGTTGTATATCCTATCACCAGCATTAAACGTTTCTAATAATATGGTTATGTAGGTACATCTCAACCTTAATTTTGTAATTCACACTTCGTTCGGTCATTTCAACCCAATGCCGTCCACTGCTGGATGAAGCCTGCGCTGCCTGCATCGGGGTACCTACTTCCTTACTATTGCTAGAACAATTAATAAATTAATTATAAAAATAATTACATCATCATGCGAAAACTCGTATCCATCGGGGTTGGTGATGGGCAAGATGATCCAGTCGATGTCCTCCAGCAAGTCTCTGTCCTGATCTCTCAGGTCCTCCACCAGGCGGTGAATGGAGAAGAGAGCTGTCGGGGTGGTCACCCACTCCCGAGCGTGGATCATGGCGTCCATGAAGTAGATAGGCTTGGACGTGTCGGTGAAGTTAGTGGTCGAAATCTGGAGAGAACGATTTAAAAAGATTATTTACGAGCTATTTTCGATTTGGTTTTCAAAGTGCGGGTAGTCCACCCACCCACAAGGTGGACCGACGACGTCATAAAGGTAGCAGAAAGGCGCTGGATGCAGGCCGCTACCCGCTGCGTGATATGGAAATCATTGGGGGAGGCCTATGTACTTACCTCCCCCAAGTATTTCCACAACGACCGGTATTGCGCCGCCCGCATCCAGGCACCTCCCGCGACCCATCTATCTAAATATAGGTAGATGACTCAAAGGTGACTGAGTGACTGACATAGTGACCACAGCACAACGCACAACCCAAACCACTGGACGGGTCGGGTTGAAATTTGGCATTCAGGTAGATGTTATGACGTAGGCAATGTAGGCATCCGCTGAGAAAGGATTTTACGAAACTCCACCCCTAAGGGGGTAAAACGGGATCCACGCGTTGGCTTATAATAGGCAATTGAAGTTCCTATCATCATCATCCTTACCTTTAAGTATTTGATGTCCCGCCCTTCATAACTTTGTCCGGCGTTCACGAGAGTGACCAGCTCTGGGTATTGGGCAGCTATCGTCTCCAGGTATGCATCTACCTAAAATATTAAGAAATGTATTATTATACACAATACGTTTGTTAGTATTTTTCGCCATAAGAATAAATAAATTAATGTGTAAATTATGAATAATCGCCGGTTATTATGAATAATTAGCGCATGATTTGGTAAATGTGATTAATATGAGGTCATTTATGTGTGTATAAAACTAAATAGGCGGCTATTTTTCACTTTAAATCAAAACATTATGTTATAGGCATCATGGAAAAGTAATATTATGCAAGAAACATTCCAAACTCATTATGCCAAATTATATTAATATATGATATCAAAACGTTCAAAAGTTTGGCTGTACACCAGCACGTACACAAGATGTTGTTCTATTTTATGAAATTTGTTAGTACTAAGGTTGAATTATTAAATAATCACTGTTAAATGTGATTAATTTATCACTTTTACCGCGACTGTCGGTAATTATTCATAATAACCGGTTATTATTAATAATTTTCAATTTATCACATTAACCGTAACATATACACAAAATTATCTACGAGTACTCATGAGCACCTATTTAAATTCTCATAGCAATTTTTTCCGAGGCTAAATATTTGCCGTTAAGTAGGTGTTTATGATCAATTTCCGGTGTACTGATTAAAGTCTATCATTACGTAATTGGTATAGTTAAATGCATTTATTTCTTACAATATAGGTAAATGGTTTTGCTTTTCCATCCCCCTTTTTAAGTTAGTTTAGTTCTAAGTGAGTTTTAAAATAATTTTGTTCCTTGGCATACCTCTGCATAGCGGGGGTAGTCGTTGAAAGGCACCAGCCTGCCACTCCTGCTCTGTTTCCACTGATTGATCTGTTCATCGTGAGTCTCGAAAGCCCTAGAAGTANTAAGGTGACTAGCGGCCGCCCGCGACTTCGTACGCGTGAATCCCGTTTTTCCCGCTAATTCCCGTTCCCGTGGGAATTTCGGGAATTCCTTTCTTAGTGCACCTCTACGGTACCTAAGCTACGTCCGTTCTAAATTTCAAGTGCCTACGTTTAGCCGTTTAGGCTGTGCGTTGATCTGTCAGTCAGTCAGTCAGTTTCTCCTTTTATATATTTAGATGAATTTTAGGAGCATGTCATGAAACCAAAATTATTAGCATACAAGAGCTTGTTTTAAAAAAATCTTTTTATTTATGATGGGGAATTTACTGCGGCGTAGTAGCAGAGATTTTCCGTTTGTAGATCGTATTAATTTCGAAAAATAGGGATGTTTCGTGGATAAAGCAAGAAAGTAGCAAGAGTTTGAATTAGTCCGTCGGTGAACTTACCAAAAATAACTCTAAACCATCATCAGACCCTGCAGTTTACCTTAGAGAATTGAAGACTCATGATTTTCAAAGTAGCGTACTTATATAACATTAGGTACTTGCTTATACAGGGTGTCCCAAAAACAATGGATAACCCTTCAACCATCAATAGGCCTCGCCATGGTTTCCCTAACGTCCAATTTTGACCCCAGTAAAAATATCACCGTTTTCAAGATTTTTAAGTTTTTGTGCATTTTTAGAAAATTGTACGGCTATGTGAACTGTTATAACTCCAATTTAATGCGGTGAGCGTATATTAGGTTCACATGTGTTCTGTTAGAATGCTGTTATCTATATTAAGTTCCACATTTGTACCACTACAGCGCTAATGTCTATAAATTTATTCTAATGTGAACTTATGTACAGCTTTAAGATGTACCTAGTTCAGGTCAATTGTGTATCTTTAATTCTTTCAAATACTGAAATTTTAGAGATCCGCAATAAAAATTATTAATGTCCGTTAAATCGCCTAGCCCAGGTACTAATAGTCAAGTATGAATACCTAAAGCATCAGACGGTAGTGTTCCCGGTTTAAATTCGTTTATTATGCCTGACAATTTATTCAAAGCGGAATGAGGAATACGATTTTCAATAGCCCATGTTCTTATTTTTTTGCTAAAGGTTAAATAATTGTCTAAATCAAAATTGTATTCACTATCACTAGAACTGCAATCATCACACTCTGATATCTGTATATTTTGAAGGGAACTTTCAGGTTCAGGCATAATATTTTCCTCTGCATCATGTACAGAACCACCATAAATACAACTAAAAACAGGCTTGGGGAAAAGTGTAATAGAATATCACATTCACATTCATTTTCAGCTTAAAGCAAATAAGAGTAGTACTTGTGGACAAATAAACTGCTATTGATGTTAATGGACAACACATATAGTCCTTTTAACAGCCTACAGTGCACATGCGAACCATTGAAACACTTTTGTACAGATAGTAAAAAAAGGTTATTTTATTAACACAAACAAGTCCTACTACAGCTACTAGCTGTATAACAGTCTAAAACAAGTAAACATAACAGCCTTTGGCTTTATAAATGACCACGTGTGTTCTATTAAAATGCTAGCTCTATAACATCGTACAAGTAGGCCGTTAAACAGCAGTTGCCGTATCTCTACCCTCCTATAATGCTCTTAGTCAGACGGCTGACTAAAGGATAGTTGTTAGAGTATTATAACACCAACAATCGTATAAAAGTATAACTCTACACTAGTCTACACTCCTATAAGTCCCTTAGACAGGTATAGGTGTAATTAATTGCAATAATACAGCTTATACATCACGAGTGAACTGTACTAATGCTTTAAGTACACATTGGAACTAAATGTGAACTCTTAAATGGAGTAAAATGTTACTTGGGAGGCACCTCCCGCGACCCATCTATCTAAATATAGGTAGGTATATGACTCAAAGGTGACTAACTGACTGACATAGTGATCTGTCAACGCACAGCCCAAACCAATGGACGGGTCGGGCTGAAATTGGGCATTCAGGTAGATGTTTTGACGTAGGCATCCGCTGAGAAAGGATTTTACGAAACTCCACCCCTAAGGGGGTAAAACGGGATCCACGCGTTGGCTTATAATAGGCAATTCAAGTTCCTATCATCATCATCCTTACCTTTAAGTATTTGATGTCCCGCCCTTCATAACTTTGTCCGGCGTTCACGAGAGTGACCAGCTCTGGGTATTGGGCAGCTATCGTCTCCAGGTATGCATCTACCTAAAATATTAGGCAATGTATACACAATACGTTTGTTAGTATTTGTAACACATTTTCTGCCATGAGAATAATATTTTGTAGGTACACAAATTATCTAAGAGTACCTACTCCTGAGCACCTAGTTAAATTCTCATAGCAATTTTTTCTGGGGATAAATACTTGCGATAGCCGTTAAAGTAGGTGTTTATGATCAATTTCCGGTGTATAGTTAAATGCATTTATTTCTTACAATATAGGTAAATGGTTTTGCTTTTCCATCCCCCTTTTTAAGTTAGTTTAGTTCTAAGTGAGTTTTAAAATAATTTTGTTCCTTGGCATACCTCTGCATAGCGGGGGTAGTCGTTGAAAGGCACCAGCCTGCCACTCCTGCTCTGTTTCCACTGATTGATCTGTTCATCGTGAGTCTCGAAAGCCCTAGAAGTATTTAAGTATTTAAAAAACTTTTGTAAATAATTTTAAGCACAATAGGTACCTACTTATTTGATCAAAAACTGCGTACATAAACTTCAGTGATAAGGGGTTCTAGAAATGAATTTCGAGTAGGTATCTTATGATGATTAACAGAAAAATAAGGCATTATGTAGGACCTATGTGATTAAAAAGTAGGTACGTTAAAACGTGTCCGTTTGATTAGGTTAGGCTATGTTTTTTCCCCGTAAAAAATAATAGACCCTTGAAGCACTCAGTGCTATTCGTCTCTTGAAGCACAAAATAGAACTTAAAGTCAGCAATAATATCTAATCCTTGAGTTGACTGACTGTAGCTTACGATAGTTACTCATGTCACAATTGGTAGCGTCAAATATGATAAAAGATATGGAAACCGGTAGTACTTGCACATTAGCCCACATCCACCAAAGTTGTGGTCTTAATTGTTACTACTTTAACAAAGTTTATTTTGACAAAACTTACGCTAAATATGTTTTTAAACAAAATTAGTAATTTGTATAGCACAAATTATTAAAAGTCCCGTTATTAGCCCCTCTTACTAAACCAGTGGTTCTTAACCATTTTACCAAATTTTCTGTCTTGTCAGGGACCACCTCATAATCGGTCAAAACCAGTTTGCCTGCAAAAATCAGTTAAAAGTGGTTTTAACCAAGGTGTGCAAGTGCACTTCGTGGACCACTTGGAATGTCTCCAGGGACCACCAGTGGTCCGCGTACCACCGGTTAAGAACCACTATACTAAACTAAAATAATGATTGTGTCACGAACGAGTGGGCTCACCACAATAGTCGAGCGGCAACGGGGTTCGAACCCGCGTTCCTCGAATGACGAGTTACCTTATCCGTATGCGTTGATTAGGGTGAAGTGGCGTTTTAAAAGTTTGCCGTTTTTGGTTGTTGAAACATCCACTTACTGAGCAACGTCCCGTAAATGCAAATAATGCTGGATCCCTCGCGCGTCCAGTTCGTCCAGAACAGCAAGCCTGCTGTTCGGGTCCAGCATAACCAAAGCATCCCGCGCTCCAGCAACGCCATCTTGCCACACGTCCAAGTCCAGACTGTCGGTCAACTCCGTGATGAAGACCTTGTCTGAGTCGTCTCGCAGCTTGACCCCGTGCACTGAGTAGCTAAACGTGAAGACAAGATGTAGTGAGATGGTTGGATTCTGACCTTTACACGCAAGACATAAAACGACCAATACGCATAAGACCTAAATCAATGTTTCTAGTCTTGTTTGATATATTTACAATTAGAATTTACGTTATATTGGGAAAATAGTCTGCAAATTATCATAAAAACTTGCCGATTGGCGAAAAGCAATTTCTTGAATATTTCAGAGGGTACATTTCGGCGATCTGTCTGGTTTTTCAGCCATGTGGTGATGTGGCAGATTATAAAATCTAACGTTATGGGTGTGGTTTAACCTTTTCTATTTCACCAGTCTTTGATTATTTGTCACTGTCATAGCTAATTTCTCTCTCTATCCGGTCTGGCGTAGCCGGAGAAACCCTCACACACGTCCTTAAGGTTTCTAAATCGCTATGTATGTAGGTACCAAGCATCAAGTTATATGGACGTCTATAAAGTAACTACCTACTCACCCTGAATACTGGTCATGTTTCCCAGCGTTGATTGTAGCTACTAACACCAAAACTAGACCTATTGCGTACATGGTGCCAAACTTCCTTCCAAGCGAGGAATGCGCCTCTACTGGTCAGTTATCAATCGTCTTTATCATTAGACTTAATTTTATTGCCATTAATTTAATAACCATAAACACGTACGAAGGTATCATGATAAATATATTTTGTATTGATGATAAGATACTTATTATTTACTAGTTGTAGGGTACCGTCACAGAATATTGTAATAGCAAATTTTACTTATGTGTATTGGCTTTTACAATGACTTCATCATCATCACATCATTTCAGCCATAGGACGTCCACTGCTAAACAAAGGCCTCCCCAAATTATTTCCAAATTGACCGGTAGAGACCTGCATCCAGTCTGCATTTTCAGTCAAATTGCAATGACTTGTATGACAAAAATATTTACTGCTATTGGTAAGAAGTAGGCTTTAATTTTGTGGATTGAGCGTGCACCATCTCTTGTTCATGGTACCTCTTGGTTTCAAATTCACATAATATTTAAGGCGGGGTTGCACCATCTTATTCTAACTTTAACAAACGTAAAAATCTGTCAAACTCCATACAAAAAGCACTGGTTATCGTTATAGTTACGGTCAAAGTTAGGTGGTAAAGTGATTACCGTCGGCCAAAGACATCCGCAGACCCAGGGGCAGGTTAGGTTGCAATAGTGCTTTATGGTCTGCCTAGGTACCTACTCTCCTCTCGCCTCAGTATATTTTTCTTCTCGTCTCTCATTTTTTCTTCCCCAAAAATGGCATTGTAATGGAAATATTCGGAACAAATTAATCAGTGAATCGAAATTCAGTTATTTTCTCTTATCACGTTCATGATGAAGCGTTTTTGATGTTGAGCGATTTTATCTTGCAGGCCTAGATTATGATCATGTTATTATCTGTCAGTCTGTCTCCGATGAAATACAACTGATATTATTTTATCTTTCAGTTAAAAAATTTAATGCATTGAAGTTTTTGTAAATAAGATTAAAAGTTAATATCCTGCTACTCAAATAAAATGGCTTAAGTGATAATTTGTGACAAAATTACTTACTATATTCGTGATAAAGGACTGTTAAAGCACTTCTTCACCATGAACATTTATTTACCTGTAATGTACATATCAGTTCATATTTACATTAAAACAGTGAGTAGAACTAAGCAGCTGGTATAAGCATAAAAGTATTGTAATTTCTTTTATTTTTATTACAATGAAATGAAATAGTTAAAATCTTAAATTAATTATCAAAAATATTCTCAGTGAGATGGACTTTTACACTAAATCAGGATAAGAAAACATTTGACAGGACTTATAAAGATTAGGCAGGTAAGTATGCTAACTCCCCAGTATTTCAGGACTTAGCGACTTAACATAAATTGGCGTCTAGGCCTGTTAATTAGAAGATCCTTAAACTTTATTAATACTATTAGAACAAAAGTAATGTCAGTCTTAGCAAAAAGAATTAATTAAACGGCTGTGTAAATACCTGCATCACACAGTTTACGTTACTCGTGTTTTTTCATTTCAAATTGTATGAAATTTTAGATAAGTTGTATAATCTTTTCCTAAATCCTGTGGGCTGATGTCAAAGCCCTTGTGTATCGTAGCATTCACACGCGTCTGATATGCCAGTACTACACTGAAAAAAATGTTTGGTTACTGCTTACACAACAAAAGTGACCACCGAACTAAGTGTTAACTATAACCAAACTAAGTCTAGCTCACTACAGAATTTTGTTCCTCATAACCAAAGTGTTGGGTGGTCACTTTTTGTTGTGTATTTAAGCAGTAACCAAATATTTTTTTCAGTGTAATTGCACTGATGGCTTTCCGATTTTGAGTCGTTTTGATCGAAAATTGATTGATCTATGGCATTTTTTCATCTTATGAAATGCTTATGCTACCAAAAATACTGCACTTCACTATAAAATATTGTAAATAGAGCACTTGTGATGTCATTGTATTCTATCAAGCGTATTGTCTGGACGTGCGTAAACTTTTGGAGTAGAAAACGAATTTTATGAAATCCAATTTGTAAAGAGTGGAATAGAATACAAATTTACGAGTATCCACTAACAATAAATAACTCAATAGAAGCCCCACAAAGTGGGTCATAAATAAAAGTTTTATTTTCAACCGCGTAACAAGCGACCAAACAATAGAACAAATACCGTTCGAATGCTGACACAGTTTGGTTCTCACACTTGCTGATATAGGGCATATGCACACACTACAAACTAATTTACTTCATGATGACTGAATTATTTTTAATGCAGAAAGAAAAACTGCTGGACAAAAGCTTCCATCAAGGATTTCTACAACGATTGGTCATAGAGCTTTTTCAATTAACAACAAAATAAGTCACATTAAACATTAACAGTTACACTATAGGTCGCTATGAAATGATGTTGATTCTACTATAACACTTAATCAGTATCATTATTATTATTCTGTTTAATGGCTTCAATGGTGCGTATTTGAAGCACACTGGTTTCGCCAATGTCGAGTGTTTAACGAGACACGGTGGACAGTGAAATTTGAAGATTGCCCGGTGGTAATTTATTTCATTCCATTCTTCATTGAGTTTTTTTTTGGTTAGTATCACCACCTAAAACAATGCGAGACACTCACAGTAAAGAACGATACAAACAAATAATTAGTAGATCTGGTACATAAGATTAAAAAAGGGATATAGGATTAAAGTGTTGTGATCATACATGTCAATACCCTATCCAACAATATTTTTGGGATGTCCTTATGAAGTGGACTCGAAAGATACAACACTATGACAATTAGAAATTAATACACAATAAAACGATATCATGTCATAAAACCGTGAAACAAAAGTAAAGCGAGAAAGGGCTCTAACGATGAAAACTGCAACTATCGGACAAGAGTTTTAAAAACAGTCGGATAAAAGACTGCAGTTAAAAGTATCATTGCTCGAGTAACAAGTTGCCTAACCGGACTGGCGAGATAGTGATGCTCAAAGTTTCCAGTCGAAGGTTTGGATTCGGGACTTGTTATTTTTGGTTGCACATGGTGAAATGTGGTACCTACCTACTGATAATTTCTCGTCGTTTATACATTCGTAAATATGCATTCATTCAAGTAAGGAGTCCTATTTTGGGCAACGAGTGTTTTGTATGTTTGTTTGTTGAATGTTATAGGTATTTACTGGAAGAAGTAAGTCTAAGAATAGGTCTACCTAATAACTCAGTCACTGCCTGGGGTATGGGAGCGGCACGGGAAAAAAAGGATTTGTTTTGATTCCGAATCAATTCAAATGATTTGACAACTGATGCGTATAACGAAATTTATTTTATTTTAAACTGGTTTCTACTTAGGTTAGGCCCGGATCGAACTGACGCTCTGAACTGAAGGTGGCTGCATCGTGAAAATGCTCACTCTGCAGGTTAAGATGCCAATTCAGCATTCAGCAGTTTATCCAATATTTTCAAGGTGTAACAGTGCCTAGTAAAATAAAAGGTGGAACATAAAGGATTAGGAAAAATATGTTTTATTTAGTCCGACAAAGCGCGTAGGATTAGTGGTGACACATTTTGTGGCGTTCTCTATAATTCTCATTAACATCCGCCCATTCAGAAGGGCGCCTGTTCACTGTCAGACAGGATTGAGCCGGGTCTGTGCTCTAACGGATTTTCTGATGACTGTCGACCACACCCTAGATAGGCTCAGTAGACCCCTTCCATTATGTGCCATTGAACGGATCTTCCAGTCTCTTCTTCTATGTCTAACTTACAATGTGTACAACCTAAATTCAGTGACTAGTGGTCTAACGGTTAAAAAGTTGAAATCTCTCCTAAGACTTTAAGGTTTTGGACCCACTTGATGCAAATTAACCGCTTGAGTCCCAGACGGCATTAATTAATGTCATAACAATTGATTATCTATTGTGTCTAGATTCGCGGGCCTTGAAGGATTAAGCTTCTATGCATTGATGTCGCAACTTATTTTACCCGCCCCTGCGCCAAACTATTATTATTATATGGCCAAAGAAGGACGGTTAATAAAGCAATAAAGAATTGGAAATTGAATTTAAATCTTCATATCTCAAAAGTAGGAAGGACACCCTTTTAGATTTATTTTTGCAACAGTAGACAGAGCCCTTCTGCTAAGATCCATGTACAGAGATAGACATTTGCAAATGCTCAAATTCATAAAGATTAGTTTAGCGACTTAGCAGTCGAAACGTGATAGAAAGGCTGAATTAATTTCGCGTTTACATTACTGTGGGTGGTGTTTATATAAATCCGATCCAATCAATCTGGATCTTCTAAACCTTTTTCTAATGGACCACCCTTCTCCCTCACCTCGGCAGCAAAAAGGTTAAAACCCTTTTTGTCTCAGCTAGGATTTAAATTATACCTAACTCAGACTTAAGCTCGTTACCGCATTGGCGGTGGATTAGGTTTTTTAATATAAACATGATTTACATGGCCAGCCCATGTTAGGGATTACGTTATTTCGTGATTGAATTTAAAATAAAAAAGGCTTTGGTAAAAAATTGTTTTGGACATCATTTGGTACTTTATTAGCTTTTGACCGCGACTTTCAGCCACGTGCAAAAAGCTAAAGCAAACAGGGCACATATTTAGCTCTAAGTTACATTTAACATAATATCTGATGTGCTACATGATGCAATTAATACCTGAATAATGAAAGGGGAAAACATTTATATACTCAACTAGGGGCCGCCCGCGACTTCGTACGCGTGGATTCCGTTTTACCCCCTTAGGGGTGGAGTTTCGTAAAATCCTTTCTTAGCGAATGCCTACGTTATAACATCTACCTGCATGCCAAACAGCCCGATCCGTCCAGTGGTTTGGGCTGTGCGTTGATAGGTCACTATGTCAGTCAGTCAGTCAGAGTTATTATATTTAGATGGAGGCATAGCAAAGTTACAGTTTTATATTTTTAAACGACTTCAACAAAAGAAGGAGGTTCCCAATTCTTTTTTATTTTACTTGGCTGAGTGATTCCACTACATTCATTTAAAGTAAGTCTAAACTAAACCACTGCATCACTGAATCAGCTGAAAACTCCAATAAATAGAGCGTAAACATCCGTTTGCACGAAACTTGTGGAT